TATCGTATTCTTCCGACTGTTTGAGAACAAACTCCTGATTAAAGCTCAGGACGTCGCCCTTAAATAAGCCGTAACAAATTAACAAAGTAATGTAAAACCAAAGAAAGAATGTAAAGCAAAACCTCAAAATTACACTTCCAAACCGCTGCCGGTCCCAGCGTTGAAGAGACTATCAAGTAGCGCTCTTCTTGAGACTTATATAATCCACTGTTAGCTTCGGCAGATGGAATTGGGGTACTTAGCACACGGGAAGAGACAAACTGCACAACAGAGATTGGTCCAGAAAATTTTATGAGCTTTCTGAAGAAACTTTTCATACGAACTATGGAATATCTAGAAATTTTAATGGAAGAAGCTTGCCTGTAGACCATATTTGTATCCACAACAAATACTGAAAGAAATACGTGACCAGTATCGAAGCCTAGCGCACTCCATCTTAGATTTTCAGAAGAAACAAGTGACGATCGCGTTACAGCACCAGGAAATGCATCTAGTGTCAGTTCAGGGAATACTACTAAGGGATGCTCAACTTTTTCCATTTTATCGGTATCTCCCTGAATTGAATGATCACGTGCAGGAAAATATCTCGCTCATATCTGGTTAATACATAACATTCAGACAGCTGATCTGTTGCTGCATCTGGTTTCAGTGTTTGAAATGAACCATTTAATGAGATGTACTAGTTTACAGAGCAAGATAGTCTTCATTAGAATCTGAACTAATTCTCGAGATAAAAGCCAAATTGTATGAGAATTCTAATGTAAGATGAGTATTTGTTGGCAAATTCAGCATATAATCAACATAAACACATGCGACCATAAATTTTGTAAAAATTATTAACCTTACCTCAACAATATATACTGACAGCGCTTCTTCAGCTTCGTAAATAACCCAGTATTTATGCTGAACTGAGTCCTCCATTCTATCCAGCAAAGAACAATGGGCAACTGGTGCAGATGCTTCTACCTGAACATTATTCTGTGATTTAAAAGCTTTTATACTAAAGAAGAATGATGATGGATTCTAACGAAGAAATAGTTTTCAAAATAA